TACCTCAACCTCAACAAACCTAAAGAATCATTTGAAGCAATCTAACAATAAGAGTAGGCTAAATGACCGACTGGTTAAAGGCCTTCAATAAATAAAAAAAACAATAAGAGTAAAAGCCGCGCTTAGTGTCAACCTTGTACTATTTAACGATATAATGAAAATTAGTTTATTTTAAATTAATTCCATCTTTAACCATAGTTACTGACAGTGAGTAAAAAACTCACATCATATTTAAAAATTTTCTGCTTTTAAAGCTTTGTATGAAGCTCTGTTCGCATAAAGCTTCGCAATTAACTTTAGTATTAAATATCACTTTTCTTGTGCATATTTCAAGTCGAGTCTTGTCACTGACCTTAAAGCATTTATGCCAAGCAGTCAGAAACTTGATTTACCTATTTTTTGGTAATTTTCGTAAATTGGTATATAGAAGTTTAAAATAATTAGTGAAGGGCTACTAGAAACCAAAGAATTGTTGCATCCCGCAATATTCCCTTTCATAATGTTGTTGTTAGATTTATATAAAGTTTATTGCATATATCATTTTCACATTATAATGGGTAGTTGTAATTTTATTATAAAGTAATGAGAAAAAGTCAAGTCAACCCGGCAGAAAAAATATAACTCCGGCACTAGGAAAGCAAGGTTGAAAACTAAAACCGTCGCGGCCAAACCGGGGCACCTTATTATTCTAAATCTAAGAAGCATTTTTTTTTGGTTCACGTTGAGAAACACTGGGATAAATGAAAACTGCTAGAAATACGTAGCTAATGTTAGGTACTTTTTATACTAATTTTTATTATTCTTACCAGGGAAGCATGGGTACGTCGTGCAGTCAATTTCTCTAACTGGTTCTGGTCTATTGCAAATATCACATTGTTCCAATTTGTTGCGTATCCAATGAATGTCGCCTTTTTGTTGTTCAACTTCTCCACGCAAATGTTTTACGACTGCTATTAATTCTATCAGCGTTTGTACTAACAAATCTGTAATAAAGATATTTATAAACTTCTTGCAAAATATATTGCACTGCATCCTTCTAATACAATACATCATCATCGATGGATATGATTTATTTTTAAACCAATAATAATAGTAAGGAAATGTTATATAATTTGCATGTATCACTACAAACTACAACTGCCAGTAATATTAATCTGGGAATACTAAGACCTATACCATATATGAGCTTTTATAAAGGTATTATAAAAAACAAATTGTTGAAAGTAACTTAATAATAACAATACTGCATATAAAACACTTAAAAAGACTCTTATATTAAGGTCTAGAAAACTGCATATCTGTTGGTTAGACCTATAGCTCAGAATAAAAAATAAAAAAAAACTAACAACAAAAATACTTTTGTTATAGATTTTTTAACATTTCTGTTGATTTCCCGATAGCGTCATTTTACGAATCAAGATTAAGGCTGGTTACACATCTTTTGACATCTACTTCCAAATATTGTTGTTGGAAAATAATTAGATTTCGATAGATTTTATTAACTTCCCGTAGGGTAAGTTATTGTAATGGGCCGAAAATCGGAATTGAAATTTTTTACATTTCTCGACGTTTTGAAGGTTTCTGAACGTTTTGGCATACCTCAGAAAAAATGGATGTGTGTGTGTGTGTGTGTGTGTGTGTGTGTGTGTGTATGTATGTGTGGATACAAATTTCCAGTCACGTTTCAGGGCGCACGGATCGACCGATTTGAATGGTTTAAAAAACATTCGATTCCTATTGATAGGGAAAAGAGCTGATTAGTTTTTGGCAAAAGCAGGTCCAGCCGTTTCGGAGATACGGAGCAAAGAGTGCAGAAAATAGAAATCGAATTTTTGAGAGAACGGAGTATCCGATTTGAATGATCTAAAAAACATTCAATTAGTAAGGATTGGGAGAAGTGTTTATTAGTTTTTGGCAAAGGCAGGCCCAGTCATTTTGAAGATACGGAGCTAAATGTGTAAAAAATGGCAGTTTTTGAGAGAACTAAGCGTCCGATTCAAATGATTCAAAGAACTTTCTGCTTGTCTTAACAAAATAATCGATTTTGGAAAAAAAATTTTGTTCCATTTTTTTTTTTTTTTTTTTTTTTCAGTTTTTTGTATATCGAAAATATTTCAGATTTTATTTTCAATTCTGACTATAGTTCTAATATACTTTACAAATAATTTCAACTCTGTGTAATTCAGTTTATATAATTCTTATAAATATTAAACAATGTTACAATATTTATAATAATCTATTTGAAAACATTCAGTATTCCTCGAACATTTCGTTATGGTGCGGGAAGTTCCAGCAATTTGCCTTAAGGCACGATGCCATAATTGCCTCAAGACAGAATTCCACTTACAGCTAGTTTATAATTTATTTTACCGTCGCAATCGGAATGCATAATAGGAATGTCTCCGCGCCTAATGTTATTAGGAACTCCATCAGCCTGCATCTGCATGATTTCCTGGTAGGATTCTGCATCCTTCGAAGTCTGGCAACCAACTCGAGCGAGTTCCTTCTGTAAGGTCGTACCTCCATCAACACTCAGGGGCATCCGTCTATCACGATACTGGAAATAGTAATAGAAATATTTAAAATATACAGTTTTGTATTTTAGTGTCATCATGACTATGTTTACTTGTCAAGACGTTATTAGATTTTTATTTAAATATAAGGTAAAGTGCGGTATAAGGGTGCGTAGGTAAAAGATCCACCACCGATACCTCAGAAACAAGTGAAGTTATGAAATTTTCAGCAATAATGTTTGGAAGTAGAGGGTAAAAGACGTGTAACCAGCCATTATCATGATTCTTACGATGTCAATGTCTAGAGATATCGGTAATGTATAAAAATTCATAACAAAAGTATTTTCTTTTGTTGATAGTTTTTTGATTGTGAGCACTGTTGTTTAGTTTACGAGATCTTAATATAATTATTAAGTCTACGTTATTTAAACGTTTTGAAAACTATATTGTTGTTTTTAGGTTAGACTCAACAGTTTTTTTAAGCTCTATAAAAGCTTACATGTGGGTGGGGTAAAAAAGACCAACTAAACCTAGTAAATAAGAGAGAAAAAAAAAGTTAAACTAGTGAGGCGCATGGTATCGTGCCTTAAGGCAAATTTTTGGAACTTCCCGTACCAAAAATCATTTTTTTAGAAAAGATTAACATTTTTGAAAAAAATTTAATCTGAAAAAATTAGATTTTTGAGAAACTATATATTTATGACAAAAATTTACTTTTTTTGAAAAAAATAGACTTTTTGAAGAAAAATTTATTTTGAAATATTTTAGAAATTCTGAACTTTTTTTCAAAGCAATCGTATTGCTTTAACTGCAAAAGACAAGCGTAAGCGCCGCGCCGCTGTCTAACGGATAAACATTGGTACGAAACCCATAGGAATGTAAACAAAATTTATACTTATTGTTAAAATATCTGATAATTTAATGTGCATATGACTAATGAAAATTTTTTGACCGCCAGGTGGCATTTTTTTTACTATTTTTACTAGATCTCCGAAACCGCTAGACCTGCCTATATGAAATTTTTATCATCTTATTAATACAAGTAAAATATTTTTTTGAATTATTCAAATCGGACGCTCCGTTCTCTTAAAATTTGAGATACCGTTTTTGGCACTTTTTGCCCTGTATCTTCGAAACGGCTTTTGCCTTCGCCAAAAACTAATCAGCACTCAAAATTTGTATCCGAACACACACACACACATACATCCATTTTTTCTAAGATATGCCAAAATATTCAGAAACTTCTAAAACGTAAAGATATATAAAAAAAATTATTTTCGAAGTTTTTGCGATTACTATAACTTGCCCTACGGGAAGTTAAAAAGCAATTTTGCATAAAATATATAAAATAAATACTTATTACAACAATGCTGACAATTTTTTCTGACGAAATACCAGATCAAGGTTATATGCATTGTTATCTCTGTAAAAAATTTACCCATAAAGTTTATATTTTGCATTGATCGAATAATATAGCTATTATTTTGTAAAAGTTCTTTAAATTAAGAATAAGACATTGGATCTGTTTTCCCCTGGCTGTCTCATTTTACACTAACTGAGGGGTAAAAAGAACCAGATGACAAATTTTTAAAATATAGCAAAAAAACACATTTCTACCATTATGAATTAACTGGGAGTTTTACTGAACATAGTCAGATAGTTGTTTGTTTGATATGTTTTATTTGCTGTGATATGATTTGTTTGGTTTTCACAATATAATTGATCAAAGTCAAATTGGACCTTTGTGCTCCGCCCTATTATATATATATATATATATATATATATATATATATAGGTTGTCAAATATCTCCCTTCCGCTTTTTTGCTCTTGGTTTATAATACAAAAAGGCGGGAGATATTTGACAACCTTATATATTAGTTAAATATTAAATATTATTGTACTTCTTGATTAATAAATAACTGAGTTAACAAATAAATTTTTAAACGAATTTATTAAAATAATCAAATTTATTAGTTCTCTACGAGTTAAAGAGTTTTGACTTATTGCTAGCAAAAATAATAGAAATTGTGAATTTTCTAATGTGCTTAAATATTTGATTATACAAATAATAATATATAAAATTTGATACTTTATTATATGCAATACATATATTTATGTTTTATTTATAAACATGTTCCCAATCTATGACCATAAAAAACAGATGATATTGTCATGACGTCTGACCATTCTAAACAAGGTTTCATTCAGATTTGTCGAGACATATACAGATATCAAAACAATTACTTTATAACTTGTTTTGAATAATAATTATTATAAAACACGAGCATTCCTACGCACCTTTCGTCTTCGTGATTGATGGTGAATTTATTCAACTTGGAAGAGAATAATTGAATGAATTTGAATTGAATTTGAAAATTATATCTTTAGTAAAACATAGACGATATGCTCTGAATTTGATACTTTTTAGTAAATATGATTTATTATTTATTTTTATAAAAACAAAATTGCAACAAAATTTTCTATATTCAATTCATATATTCTAATATCTTTAGCATATAGATCATTGCATTTGTTCGAGTAATAATACATTGTTCGAGTAACCTCTTAAATGGTAATAAGATTTATGTTTATACAGTTGTGTTGTGTATAAAGGTATTAGGATTAATCATATACTTTTTTTTATCTATGGGATTAACAATTTTTAATTATTTAGAAAATTTAACCAGTATCTTCTTTACTTTATTTTGCATTGTCAAAAATTTTAATTCGCTTTAAATAAATCAGAAATAATACTTTGTAACTCACGGAGAGAAAAATTTAGACTAAGGAGTAAAATTTGTTCGAAATAGCAACTTGCAAGTGTTTTTTTTATTATTTTTAATTTCATTCATTTTTATTATTTTATTATTTAAATCTAACACTCAATAAAACTTAACTTGACTAAAAAATTTGCAATTTTTTTGAATTTGTCTATTTCAATCAGAATAATTTTGTTACTATAATTCTATTATAATTTTATTACTATAATTCTATTATAACTTACCACTTTGACAACCCTCTTGTGATCATCCTCTGATTCAAAGGCGTCCCTAAAAGTGGTATTGGTATGGAAAGTGCCCCTTAGCTCACAGTTTTCATATACTTCAATTCGGGCATCAGGACGCTCCTGCCTGACGTGCAGGATTAAGGAGGACACAAAGGACTCGGTGTCCAGGTTTGGTAGAGCAAATGCTTGTTTTGACTCGCTTTGGCCAAGTCTGGTAGTTTCCAAAACAACTTGAAACAAAAGTAAAGTAAATTATTAATATTTTAATTACTATGTGCATATATACATTACATAGTAATTACCTCATTTAGAACATTTTTATTTTGAATGTATATAACATTTTTTAAAAAGCAAAAAATTTAAAATATTCTAATTATTTGCAACTAAAAATACAATGAGATATGAAGTGCACGAAATACTGACATCACGTGCACTGCGTTTTCTTGCAAATAGTTTTAAATTCATTTTCTCATACATATGAAAAAAATTATTATTTGTTTAATGATTTTTAAAAAACTATTTTTTTTAAATGGAGAGATATAATAAATTTGAAAATAGTATAATATATAATTCTTATAGCCAGTTTGATAAAAATAATTACAACTTATTATTAGAAAAATCCTGATATTTTAATATTGTAATATTTTAATAGTGTAATTCATGAAATTTTAATGAAGAATATAATAATTTTGTTTATTGATTTTTAATTGTTTATTTTATCATATTCATGTATTCATTAATGACACTAATTAAGTTAAATACTATATATCTAGTATTTATGAATGAAACTAATTAAGAAAAACTTTTGGTTGAAAGCTGTTTTTAAATGAAATTTTTGTAAAAGACAGTAAAAGAAAATCAGTTTATTCAGTTATTTTCTTTATGAAATGATCTATTACTGATTACCATATGTGCAAATTTTAAGACATCCATCTTTCTACATCGAAGTCTTCCAAGCCAATTTCAATTACCCATTGAATTTTCATTTGAGTTGAAAAATTGAGCAAAGGAACTAATTAGGTTATTAAACTTTTATATATGTTCATTATGAGCATATCAAATTGTACTTATACTCGATAGCAAGATGACCTCAAAGATAATAGAGACTCATTGACATATATTTTGAATACTTATTACATAATTAATATATCGTCTTCGTAATACAAAAACATTGAAAACATAAACGTTTTGTGTGATATATATAATAAGTTTTCTTGAAATCGTATTTGCGAAATTCTAATTTCAAAAATAATTCAATATCCAAACACTAAAATATTTATTTATAGCTCAGTTACAGAGAAAATAAGTATCAATTCACTACAGATCTTAAGAGCAAATATGAATCAATAATATTATGTCAGCATTTATAATTTATCTTAACTTGTTTCTATTGTTTTCATTTTTGTTTCAAAAATTGTCACCCACTAGAGAAAATTTGAAATTTAAGATAATTTTTAATATCACACACTTTCTCAAAAACCTGTAATCTGATGCAGAGGAGCTTTACTTCATATTTCTCGAATATAAATGTAGGACGGTTTATATTGTTTATTTTTATATTAAATTTAGATTTTAGATTAAATAATTATAAATTTGATTAAATAAAAATTAAAATTCTTCAAGTATTAAGCTAACAATAAAAATTATATTGTTAGCTCACCTTGCTTCTGATGAGAACTTCTTGCAAAAGCATATATTTTTTTTGTTATAATTTATTTTTGTTAATCAAGACTTTAATGTCTTATTTAAAAAGCATAATTGAACTAATTAGCTCTAATGATATTTTGAAATATGTATCGTATCAATTAAATTTGTAAATGATTTTTTATTATCTATTTACCTGTTTGTGACGTCCAATCCAAAAGAATTGTGAATCTATATGCTGCATGAGGAAAATCAACAGCCAAGAGGACTTCTGGAAGAGTTCTTCCTGTTTTTCTTGGTTTTAAATCACGGATTGTGATTTCTAATTCATCAGATGTAATTGCCGATCGTAATGCTTTTGTACTTGCTATAAATAAATATAATTATTATAAATATATACATTAAATTCATAGATATCATAGTTATTTTTAGTACTAAACATTCATCTAAAAAATATAAAAATTGAATGAATTCACTTTCATTTTTTTAAATTATTTGAACAACTTGGATTGATATATTATATATAATTTTTGATACCATTGATTATAAGTTTCCAATTTAAAACGTATGTTCCATTAAACTCGCAGAGTAATAAACTGCATTATAATCATATTTTATCTTTTAAAAAAGCATGATAATTTTTCTGTTTAATATAAAAATATTAACTTATACAAGAATGACTAACGTGATTTAACAAATTTTATTCAGGAAATAATGATATAAAAGTTGCACCATGCTCTAGATGACCCGATAAAAAAATCTTCTGTTTTTGATCATTACAAAATTATATTATATTATATTACAAAAGTTGTATATATAGCCTTAATCGAAAGACTTATTCAATAAAATTTTATTTTAATTAGGAATTCAATAATACCCCATTATTAATAAAAAATAGCTATTATTTTACTAATATAAAATTCCACATTGGATTTGTCAAATTTCTTGTCCCCAAATTTGGATTTGTTGCTAGAAACTAATTAAATACTAATTTTATTATTTCTATAAATGTTATCTATATATATACGATAGACAAGCTATTTATTTTGGTCAAAATATTTTTTTCAACAGCTTGATAACACAGTTTGCTAAGTTCACTTTTAAAACTGATATCAAATGTTTGCGCTCTAGAATTTGTCGTTATTGCTAAATATTTGTTTATATTTTACAATTACAAATTCGATTTTTACGGCTTAATTGGATTAATTTCATTAATCCATTTATATATGAATGACTATAAATATACAAAAAATTAAAAAAAAAAGAGTTGAATGGTCCCGATTTGCTTCAGTGCCAAAATTTGTTTACGAAATGTCTGCCGGATATATAACTCAAAATTGGGACAAATCCTGTCTAGAAAAGTATCTCGATTACAAAGGTCATAAAAATATGAATGATCCAATTTGAAATTAACCCAATAAAATCAAGTTACCACGAGATATATCATAATTTCTGTACCATAATAATAATTATTCGTCATTATCATAATTAATAATAAGCAATAGCTTTAAAACCCTAAAACATTATATACATTACAATAAGGATTATTTTAATTGTTTACTCGTACAAATATAATGAATCAAATATCAATAGTAACGAAATAATAATGAAAAAATGACGATAACAAAATTTATAAGAGATAAAAATAAAAAAATATTTATAAAGTAAATATTATTTAATTTTTGTAATAATATTCTCGACAAAAAATGATCAAGTTTATTAAATTTAAAATGCTGTACGTGAACATATACATTCACATTCATTATTTTTACGTTTCGGCACTAAATATGGTTTATTTAACAAATATGAGGTAACAAATAAAGAAGTGCTGAGAAGAATGGGCAAAGAAGGAACTCTGATGAACACGATCATTTAAAAGAAAAAAAAGTAATTGAGACCCATTGACCCATTGATTGACAATAATAAGTCTAAAAAAAATTAGGAAAAAGAATGCAGATGATTGATATCTTTGCGAGAAGAGTCAATGTATAAAAGTGTCTAAAATAGTGAATAGTGGTAATGAAATGGTAATGAGTATAATAATTAATAAACAAAAGAAGAAAAGTGAATCATTTATTTGTGGTGCTCTCAGGTCATGGACCTGCCGTCGGGTAGACAACAATATATATTATTCTTATTATTATCATTTAGCAGTTCAACTGCACTTCGAATAAGAAAAAATAATAATTAGCAAAGAGGAAATATAATAAATATCAGTTAAACAATTTTTGATGCTATTATCATTTATAGGATTTTTTTTAAATTAATTTATACATATAATATGTACAGTAGTGACCTAGGGCAGTCTAAGAGCTGATACTATGAGTTAAACTCCAACTTGATTCAGGGGAGAATAGTGTAAGAGATTTTCCATTGCCATTTTTTCACCGTATGGACTATTTTCAAGTAGAAACATATTTTTGATCAATATTTTCAAGAGGAAATGGACATCGCTGCTGCACGATGCCAGGCAGTCCTAAAAGCTTGAACTCGCAACCCCGTTTACAATAATTTATCAAATTTAAGGTAATTATAGATAGACAAAACTTAAACTGTTTATGAGTAAACTTGAAGCTGATAAATTGTATGTCAATTATTAATTTAGCATAAATTAATTGAAGTAAAGGACAATAATATGTATATGAATGAACATAGAAATATAAAAAAATGTTTACGATGAAGTAATAACTTTCGTTGTTTTGTTTGATATAGATTTTGATATAAAATATAATTTTGGATTAAATACATAATGATGTTTATAATGATTATAACTTAATAATTCGTTTATGTAGAGTGATGCCTCTACAGTTACTCCCCTTTGAAGTAGATGTCGAAACACCACTTTACATAAAAGAATTAATAAATTATAATAACAAAACTATTATATACTTAATTATGTTCATTTGTTTATGCAAAATGTAGATAGGTATAATAATTTATGTGATTATATTTTTTATGGAGAAGTGTTGTCTCTATCTACTCCCCTTAGAAGTAGATATAGAGACACCACAGTACATGAAATAATAATAAATTATAATCACATAACTATTATATACATAATTATGTTCATTTGTTTATGCAAAAGGTTGTTACATATAATAATTTATGTGATTACAATTTTATCAATTCTGTTATGGAGGGTGGTGTAGATGTAGCGACACTACTCCACATTAAGAATTATTAAATTATAATTACATAAACTATTATGTACATATTTATGTTCAATTGCTTATGCAAAAGGTAATTAGATATATTAATATGAGATTTTAATTTAATAATTGTTTTATGTAGAGTGGTGTCTCTACATTTACTCCTCTTTGAAGTAGAGGTTTATGTAGAGATGCCACTCTACATAAATGAATTAATAAACTATAATCACTTAAATTATTTTAGGTTCAATTGTTTATGCAAAATGTAGAAACATATAATAAATTAAGTAAATATATTTTTTTAATTTTTATATATATATATATATATATATATATATATATATAAATTTCATAATTAATAATCATAAATTCAGCTTACCATTATCAACGGTCATACAATGCACCCATCCAACAGCCACCAACAACAAAACTGGCCACAACTTCATTTTAAAGTTTTTATAAAATTCTTAAACTGCAAACATATTATTTAAACAATCAATCACTCATTATAATCCGTTTAATACGCTAATGTTACTCAAATGAAATAATTCAATCAAAATGAATGAATTCTTTCAAGGAATGAGATGCTGAACCGCGAACGAACGTGAACGTGAGTGCTCTACTTTTCGTTCTAATTCAGTATTTGTCGTTCGGCAAAGAGACGACGCTCGAAATTTGAGTCAACGAGAGCTTTTGTACATAAATATAAATATATGTTTATGTCCGTTGCTGATGCTTCTCGTCTCCTCGTCTGTTGGTCGCGATGTCACATAAGCAACTGATTCATTTAGACTTGTACTTGGAAAGTTTATATATAGGATTTGGATTGTCACCAAACCGTGCCCGTCAACGTGCATGTAATTTGCAAGTCAAAGTTTTTCCCAGTTTTGTAATTTTTGAGAAACTGAGAAATTTGGTTTGCTGATTTGTCCTACATTGGATGTAAAATTGATCAATTTATGCACTAAGAATAAAAATAATCGTTATTCACATAATGAGAAGCTTTTCTTTTATCACATTTCTTGCAACTTTCTTCATAAAATTTGGAGTACAACTCATATGCTACATTCTGTTGCGCCTATTTATCTGCATTTATGTACCAAGCTAGTATAATAAGTTTATATAATATGATGCCAAGCTAAGTACAGTGGGGTACATGCCGCATGGCATCGTGCCTTAAGGCAAATTACTGGAACTTCCCGTATCGTAGTTAAAAATCTTGGTATGGAACCCAAAAAAATTTAGACAAAATGTGTACACATTATTAAAATCTCTATAAAATATCTGATAATTTGATGTACATATGTCCAATAAACATTTTTGAGCGCAAAATGACTTTTTTTTAACTTATTTTTATTAAAAGTCCATAACCGCTGCACCTGCCTTCCCAAAAATTTAATCAGTTCTTCAATACAAGTAAAATGTTTTTTGAATTATTAAAATCGGACGCTCCCTTCTTTAAAAAACTGAGTTACTGTTTTTGGCATTTTTTGCCCCGTATCTTCGAAACAACTAGACCTCCCTTTGCCAAAAACTAATCAGCACGTCTCCTTATCAATACGAAACGAATGTATTTTGAATTATTCAAATCGGTTGATCAGTGTTCCCGAAATCGTCGAGGAAAATTTGTATCTGCACACACACACACATACATCCGTTTTTTCTGAGGTATGCCAAAATATTCAGAAACCTTTGAAACGTGAAGACATATAAAAAATTTCATTTTCGATTTTTGGTCTACGAGAAGTTAATAATGTATTAAATTTAATTATTTAAATTTGAATATTAATATCCACTTGAGAGTCGCCAAAGTTCCACTTGCTAATTTTCTCGACGTTTCAAGTAATTCTGAATCAATTGAGATTAAACGTCTACTTGTGTGAGCCGAAATTTGACCAATCGTCGTTGTTTTATCAAACAATGCTGAATCAAATTCTAAAATTTAAAAAGCATTGACTGATTTTGCAAGATGATCATCCAAATCGTTTTTTAAATTTGCAGAAGATTGAATGATTTTATTCACATTTTCTCAAAAAACCATAAACCAATTTAATAATCGGAACCTGAAGCGCATTTGAAACGCATTATTTGGGAATCGGGCTTATAGTTAGGATTTTGAAGATACAGTTCAAGGTCTAAAATATCATCAAGATGCAAAAAGTTATTATAAAGGTTTACTTACAAAATTTGGAGTAGTGATCCAAATTTAAAACTATATTGTCATAATTTCCAAAGTTTCTAAATCTCGTTGACAAAAAGCGTTGAAGAAACTCCAGTGCAACGGGTCATTTGAAGAGAAAAGTGACAGAAAACGATAGAAGTTATGAAATTTTAATTAACATCCAGAAAAAATATTAGATTGGAGATTTTGTCATTTTTTTTATTTATATGCAATTTGTCTTATTGCAAAATGCCAGTTACACCTATTTAATAATAATTTTAGATAATGATTCAATCAATCTAAAGATATATATCATAAACACAAATTAGATGATTTTTTCATCTTGTGGCTCAGTAGCATTGTAAATTGTGACAGAAGTTTTGTTCTGAACACTTTTTTTCAATAAAATAAATAGAAACTTGTTTCTAAAACAATAATTGTTTGATGAAAATAATCATTAGCATTGTATATGTAATTCTCTTCATTTGATTACCTGATGATAGAAGTTTTGTTCTGAATCTGTTTTCAAAAGAATAAATAGAAACTTTTCATAAAACAATAATTGTTTGATAAAAATAATCATTAGCAAAATATATGTAGTTCTCTTAATTCGATTACCTGATGATAGAAGTTTTGTTCTGAATACCTGTTTCAACAAAATAAATAGAAACTATTCATAAAACAATATTTGTTTGATAAAAATAATCATTAACAATGTGTAGGTATGTAATTTTCTAAATTTGATTACCTGATGTATACACATGAGGAATCGTTCCATTGATGTAATTTTGAAATTCATTAAAAAAATATTCTGTTTTATTTCCAAATCTGTTGAAATGCTGCACAGTGAGTAGTAAGCACCTGTGCTTAATACAAATTTTACCTATAATAAAAAATTCTGAAAAAAGCAAAACAAAGATTATAGATAGTATTCTGAAACAATCAAACATAAGAAAAATAATATAATTACGTACCTCAAAGTCACTTAGCATGAAATTTATAAAAATGTCGCACTTCTATTGTATTATCTTATTATATTCAATCATTATATTGTACTTTAATTATTATGGGATTAATTTACGCAAAGGCTTTACATAGTTTTAATTTTGAAATCGCTGTATCGACAAATCACGTCCAAAAAATAAACATTATATTAAAGATATTTACTTTACTTTCAATTATATTTTTATATAAATTTTATTGCATTTCAATAATTATGAATATATATATATATATATATATATATATATATATATATATTGTTGTAAACGTTGTAATTTTTTATTAACTCGCTCCATCGTCAGTAAATATTCTCCAGTGAATAATAAGAATTATATTAAAGCTATTTACACAAATGTTTCCCAAAAATTACATAAATTACAAATACAGCAAAATCTGAGAGAATTCTAGGTGTATATAATCAAATTCAAATTGAAATTGCAATACTAAAAATAGGAAAAAATATTTTTAATTATAAATGCATATATGTTTACAATTGCACAGATAATATTAAACATGAATCATCGTTTTAATCTGAATTCTAAACCGAAAGATTATTATATAACCACATGTTCAGACGGAAGACTAATTTATGCGTAAGAAGCGTCCACTAACGAATTAATTGGTGAGTGGGTGTAAGGTACGACGGCATTGGAGAAAAAACTTGGTCAATAAGCATACTTTTAAATCATAAAACTAATATTAAACTTTGTGATTAATATATTAAACAGCAAGAAAAATTTACCATTTTATTAGCTTCATTTACTGGTCATTTTATCAAATTTAAAACAATTGTTATAAATATTTTTAAGTCTAAGAGTTGTTACAGACTTGATATAATAATAACACAGGTTTACAAAAGAAGTTGTCTGTGCTGGGTGTACGATATATGTTTTTCTTTGTATTTTTACTGTTTTTACCTAATCTGAAGATAAAATTATAAAATAAAAAAGGACAAATCTCCAACCTAGTAATTTTTCTGGCTGATAATTAAAATGATATAATTTGTATCGTTTTCTGTTTCTTTTCTCTTAAATGACTTGCAACGGATTTCTTCATGTCTTGTGATGATGTTCAAATTCCTTTTTATTTTTTTTTATACTTTATTTTATTTACTACTGTCTAGTTGAGGACATTTGAGCACTGTCCACAATTGTATTCCATAACACCAAATTGGTTTATATAAAAGTAGCTTATTGTATGAGTTTAATTTGGAATTAGTCCCTAATAATCAGTAAAGTATTCGCGACGTGCAAATTCCTGATGATATGATACAAAAACAGAGATAAAAAAAACCGTCACAAAAATCTGTTGCAGATTAGTTATTTAAGAAGAAATAAGAATTAGATATTCAAGAAGAAACGACAAAAATTATAAAAATTAATTATCATACATAAAAATGCAGAAAAATTACTAGATGGATTCTGTCTTTTTATATTTATCTTCTTTTTTTGTATGTTGGCCCCAACTTTGACTTCATATTCGTGTTCATTGGTAAGGGGGTAGGACGGAGCACAAAGGTCCAATTTGACTTTAGGCAATTATTTTGTGACCAAACCAATTGTATCACAATACATAACACATATCAAACAAACAACTATCTGACTATGTTCAGTAAAACTCTCAGCTAATTCATCATTGTAGAGATGATGTGTTTTTTTGCTGTTTTTCAAAAATTTGTCGCCTGGTCCTCTTTACCTCATAAAATGCGGGATAAAATGAGACAGCCAGAGGCGAACTGATTCAATGTCTTATTAACTTCCGTAGGGTAATTTATAATAATCGCAAAAAAATCGAAAATGAAAAATTTTATTAATCTTTACGTTTCAAAGGTTTCTGAATACCTTAGAAAAAATGGATGTATGTGTGTGTGTGCGGATACAAATTTTTGTTGACGATTTCGGGAACACCAATCAACCGATTTGAATAATTCAAAAAGCATTCGATTCGTATTGATAAGGAGTCGTGCTGATTAGTTTTTGGCCAAGGCAGGTTTAGCCGTTCCAAAGATACGGGGCAAAAAGTGCCAAAAACGGTAAATCAGTATTTAAGAAAACGGAGCGTCCGATTTTAAAAATTCAAAAAACATTTTACTTGTATTAACAAGATGAAAAACTGATTAAATTTTTTGGAAGGCATGTCCAGCGGTTATGAACTCTCAATAAAAATAATTTGAAAAAATCTTATTTGGCGGTCAAAAATGTTTATTGAACATATGTACATCAAATTATCAGATATTTTATAGAGATTTTAATAAATATTTTGTGCAATTTTTTGGGTTCTGTA